CTTATTCGCATCTTAAATATTTGATGCCGCATTTAAACTAAACGAATTATGTATAAATTGTAAATAAATGTAAATATTAATTATTTAAAGTGTTTATTCTTCAAACCATTCATTACGCTTCACTGGTGACTTTCGGACGTGATTTTGATAACTCAATTGCAACCTTCGAAAAAGCTATGCCTAATACTGGAGATACAGAGCTCGATAATCCAAGTACTTCTAAATATATTGAAGGCGTCTCAGTAAAACCTCCTCCTTTTTGGAATGAAACTCCGAAATTATGGTTTGCGCATATTGAAGCTCAATTTAAGAATAGTAATGTTTCGGCTGAAATTACAAAGTACAACATCACCGTTGCTGCCTTGGAACAGAAAATTTTGAATACGGTAAGTGATATAGTTTTATCACCTCCCGAAGAAAATCAATATACCGCATTAGAGGAAGCACTTATTGCTCGTTTGAGTGATTCCGAAAGTGTTCAACTAAAAAAGCTCTTCTCCGAACTAGACCTTGGCGATAAGCGCCCTAGTCAATTGCTACGCGAAATGCGAAATTTGGCGATGGGTAAAGTAAATGACAATGTCTTAAAACCACTTTGGTTACAACAATTGCCCCAGCAAGTTCAAGCCATTTCAGCTGTCAGCACTGAAGCTCTTGATAAACTGGCTGAAATGGGCGATAAAATTTTAGAAACTTGCTGCAGATACCAGGGCGTTGGCGAATTTTCTGCCAATAGAAATCCAGAAGCGACTACATCAGAAAATCTGAATTTATCAACAATATTAGACAAAATTAATGAACTTTCTAAAGAAGTTAGCGAGTTGCGAAGATCACGCAGTACCTCTAGAAATCGGAACTATTTTAATCGCCAAAGTTCCAATTCTAGGAACCGAACAAAATCTAGAGAAGGTATTTGTTGGTACCATCGTCGTTTTGGTAAAAAGTCAACCAGATGCACTAAACCCTGTTCATTTGTTGCTGATTTCGAAAAATCGGAAAACTGATTAGGCCATCGTTGGCGGCGCAAGACGATGGTAGCCAGAATTCAAGTCGCCTTTTTATTTATGATCACTCTAGTAAACGAAATTTTCTTATCGATACTGGAGCTGATGTATCTGTTTTACCCCTTTCTTCAAAACAGAAAAAAACTCCTGATTCAAAATTTTACTTGTATGCTGCTAACGCTTCGCAAGTGCACACATTTGGAACACAGCGACTTTTCCTTGATCTGGGCTTAAGAAGAAAGTTTTGTTGGACCTTTATTGTTGCCGATGTTTCGAAAGCAATAATAGGTGCTGATTTTCTGAAAGAATACGGTCTTTTAGTTGATATTAAAAAAAGAAAATTAATAGATCCTACTACATCTTTAAAATCCTTTGGTCGACTTGTCCATGTTCCGTCAACTAATTTGACTACTATGTCGTCTAAAACTACTGATCCTAGAATTTACCTACTGTTGAATGAATTCAAAGATATAACTGTAGAACACTCGACAGTCAAAGAGATCAAACATGACGTCACCCATCATATTATAACAACTGGTCCACCAGTTTTTTCAAAACCTAGACGTTTGGCACCCGATAGATTAAAAATTGCACGAAAAGAATTCGAGTACATGATTGAGCAAGGAATCTGTCAGCCATCAAAGAGCGCTTGGGCCAGTCCTTTACACATGGTACCAAAGAAAAATGGAAGCTACCGACCATGCGGTGATTACCGAAATTTAAATGCTGTCACTATACCTGATCGATATACATTGCCACATATTCAAGATTTCAACAACCAATTACATGGTTGTAAAATATTTTCGACAGTGGACTTAGTCAGAGCTTATCACCAGATACCGGTCGAACCTAATGATGTTGAGAAAACAGCAATCTGTACCCCATTTGGATCTTTTGAATTCATAAGAATGAGTTTCGGGTTACGTAATGCCGCACAAACCTTCCAAAGATTCATCCATACGCGGATTAGATTTCTGCTTTGCCTACCTTGATGATGTACTTGTGGCTTCCAGAACCGAAGACGAACATCTTTCACATCTAAGACAAGTGTTTCATCGATTTCAAGAAGCTGGTTTGGTCATCAATTTAGAAAAATGCGTCTTTTTGAAATCAAACATTAATTTTTTGGGACATCATATTTCAGAAAAAGGCCTCAAACCAACTGATGACCGGATAAAAATTATTGCTGAATATAAAAGGCCAAATAATATCAAAGAACTGCGTCGTTACCTTGGTGTTATAAATTTTTACCATCGATTTATACCGAATGCTGCTGAGAAATTGGCGACACTTAACAGTTTTCTAAAAGGAAAGAAGAAAAATGATAAATCAATAATAAACTGGAAATAAATGTAAATATTAATTATTCAATGTTTACATTTATTTACAATTTATACATAATTCGTTTAGTTTAAATGCGGCATCAAATATTTAAGATGCGAATAAGAAAATATATAATAATAGAACAACATTAAAAAGCAATTCTGAAAAGTAAGAATTAAAGTTGTAGTTAAAACAAACTTAAAGTTATTAAATAATTATAAAAACAATTAATGCAGAATATGATGTGTGATGTCACGTCGCTTCA